CTTAGGCTTAATTAGCTGTTCAAGTTTTTAAGCCCTAGTATTTTATTTGTGACATACATAACCACACAAAGTGCATTTGTATTTTGCATCTTAATATTTTCTGTTCTTTATAATGTTCAAGTTTTGTTACTCGTATATTTTCTATCCGATAATAAAAGCTGAATCAAATGGGCCACTGTTGACAGTCTGCTTGCACTACTATCCAATTACTTTCCTTATCCATCGTATGATATTTTTCAACCAATCAAGTTTCACTTTCTCGTATAACTTTCTAAAATCAGTTTTTTTTCTCTCTCTCTCATGGAAACACGTCGTGCTATCGAGTTTCCATTAGGCTGCAAATTTTTTCTTCTAATTACTGAATACTAAACTAAGTGTACTTTACAAAAAAATCGCTTAGTTTAGGATTTTGTCGCACGATAATTGTCGTGCTTTTAACTAAAATCATCGGATTCAAATATTTAAGTCGCAAAATTACGTATATGTTATTGTTAGAAACTAGTGCATAGTCTAAGGGCTTAAGAGTTAAATGTTAAGAATCTTTCAAAAACTGCGATAGAATATATATTTAGTATTACTATTTGACGTAAACGTTTTTACTTCCATTTAAAGTTTCTCTAAAATACACCAAATATATAAGTTATTATACTTGGCGTATTTAAAAAAGAATAATATGCTTTCTTCACACTAGAGGGAGGTAGTAGTATTGTCGGTTAATAAAAACGTAGGTTGCACGAAGATGACTAGTATGTGTTAGACAAATATACTGTTACGTCTCCGTTTGTTAATTGATTTTCCGTAACTTCGCTCCGACGAAACTTTAGCGACACAAGTCCTTACTTAATAACACTGGTTTATTCTTTCTGAATATAACTTTACCGATACACTTATTTTCAACAGTCGCTCTTTTACAAACGTTTTAACAACGAACATTAACTTCAACAATACTTCCTGACTGCAGTTCAATTACTCACTACCTACACACATTGTCTCGTCACGTTGTGAGCGTCTTATATATATACCAGACAAACATATATCTTGTAAATGCTAGGGCATTCACGAAGGTTCGAGAGAAGTGGCGTGACACCAGTCACGTGACCTCGCTGACGCAACACTATTGTTACCTGAGCAACTAAGTCCAAGTGAAAGACTGTTGGATATTGATGAATGTTCCTTCTGAGACAGCAATGTATCTTAAATATTTTCTTGGCATTCTCTCTAATTATATAATATCTGCTAAGCAACTAAGACTATTAAGTGTTTTTTGAAGATATTTGGTGAATTTTTCTCTGACCATAAGAATTTTGCTGTGACGTCTTTAATAACCGAAATACAAGTCTATGTGACTTGACTATTTCTGTTCAAAGTGGCTTTGAGTAATAGATTTATCCACTGTCATTTTATTCCAGCTCATAAGGCTGGCGGGCCAGCAGAGCATTACAACCTATCTTCGACCATGAGGGAAAAGGACTCTTAAACGGAAAATGAATTGTACAAATTGATGCTTGTCACGTGTTCAAAACTTTATTAATCATTTGTGAAGGGAAGTAAGAGACGAGATAGAAAAACATCATCAGGCAGAATAAACATAAAAAGGCAGGTTTTTCATAGGGATGGCAACATGTCCTATGGGAGAGACATCTCTTACGTATTGAAAGGATGCTCAGCTGGAATAAGCACCTTTTGTGGAGGATGAACCGAAGAGTTCATCAGCAAGTCGGCAAGGATGACATTGTGAGTCAGGAATCAGCACGTGACACATTTGATGCGAATTTTCTGAAGATGATGAAAACGTTTTGAATAATATGATGTCATCATACAACCCCTGAATAGGGCAGGGTAGCTTTATTTTGAAAGCCAGACGGAATGCATGGTGTTCAAGCATCATAAGTTTTTCATGCAAAAGAAGTAGCTAATATTCATAAGGTTTGGCCATAGGTAGTGCAAAGACGAATGAAAACTTTATAAGAACAGGGAAAAAAAGAGAGTTAGATTTAACCCCCAGGTGGTTTGAGTTCCACAGAAGGTTGAGTCGTTGTGTGACCTTGAAGTTGATTGTTGAAAGGTTAGGCTTCCATGTCAGATGCTTATAGAAGATGACACCAAAATATATAGCTGTGCTAGATTGTTGTACAGAGACGTGGTGTTCTCTAGGGAGCGGTTAAAGTTAAGGCTAAGTTCAGCTAGGGAAATATGAAATAACAAGGAAACGTTGTCTTGAAGTATTGAAGTCCAAAGAGCGTGGTTGTGGGCTTGAAATGTGGTCTCGAGAAAGGTTACAAAGAGACTGGCTTTGTCAGGAAACATTGTTGGATAGCACAATCATTCTATTACGTGGGAGTATGATCCGTTAAATATGAGCCCGGAGGGCATATTTGGATATTTCAAAAATAAAGAACGAGCTGTTTGAAACTTGGAATCCATATTAGAGAGTAGGAAAGACGAAAGACTAGAGAGTGAGTCAGTGTCCGTTTGGAACACAGGGCTGTAAAGTTGTAGAAGTAACAGGAGAATGATGATTGAAGGACGAAAATCGACTGTAGCAGAGGAACGTGTAGAAATGTCCACAGAAGAAACATTAGAAGAAGGTGTAGAAGTACCATCCTTGACAGGCAAGACGGTCTCTGATGATGAGGTGACTGTAGCTGGAGGAACTGACTTATTATGCACTGCGGGAGGTCTGGAGTAAGATTTGGGTCTTTGAAGGCTTTTCCACAACAGGGTGCTGATGACGAATGTATCCTTACAGTAGAAACTAGTCTACAGAAGGAACTTCAAGTAAACACAGAGATTTTGAAACTGAACAACTAGCAAGTTGTAACTCACAAAGAAAACTGAAAGTAGTCAAAACGCTAATGCAAATGTCTACGGCAAAACACGTTTCTCGAACAAAAGCCACATCAACCAATCTTCTTATCACCAATCTCTTAGGCAGATTTGTTTTTCGTCTCA